GGCAGGTTGACGGGCTTCTTTGTAATTTTCATTTATAAATAGAGCATTTCGTATTTTTTAAAAAAATTAAGATCCATACATTAATAACTCTTTTTTTTTTCAACAAAAATGAATGTCCTCACTACTACATATTGGTTTTGGTAATTATTCACCGCATGATGGAGTATAGAATCAAAATCACTCCGCCCCCCTTTTTTTTGAAAAAAAAAGTTAGGTAAGGCAACCAAGACGACCAACTAGTTAATAGAAAGGTTAAAACCTGGACAACCTGCACCTACGCTCCAAAGTACCAATAAAAAGGGCAAAACTCCTTTAGCAATGACCTCTAATTACACGTGTGGCATGGTGTCAAGTGTTATTTCAATAGAAAAATGTGATTTACAGGATGAAGTCTTTTACAAAATCACTAAGGAGATAAAAAATTAACATTAGAGGCTTTTACTTTTTAATTTTGGTCCCCCCCATATGCCTCAAAAAAAAAATCTTAAAAAATTGAGCCCCTTTCTAACAAACACGGGCAATTAGTGGAGAAGACGAGCCCTACCCATTTTTTCAAATAAACTGTGGTTTTTAAAGCTATCAGTAAAATTGAAAGGCACAACGTCCAACTTAGGTATGAAGTGTGCTACCACCACAACCTGAGCCCCTTTCTAACAACTGGAGGCATTTTCTCATAAATGTTTTAGGCTCCCTTGATACTTTTATATAAAGAAAAACATTTATATAAGATTGCGACTTTAAAATGTAGAATTACATATGCACCTAAAAAATCCATCGAAGAATGATGTTTTAATGTTGAAAAATCTTCTAATATATCATATTGACATTGAGATGTATGAATATGGAAAAACAAAATTTACGTGTCCCAAAAATAGTGCATCTTGCAACACATTATCTAGACCGTCCATTTTTAAGATTTATATATGTTTTATAGATCTACTTGATTTTAACCATTTTTGGAGTTCAAAATTTTTATAATTAGATGTGAAAATAGATTTTTAGATAATCCTAAGGATTTTTTGCATCAAACTTGCATGTTATGATAAAATTTGGATGTACGCCTTAGTTGAATTGTTTATGGTTGCAATCTTATAGAAACCACACCTTTTATATAAACATTTTCCGTAATTTATTGCTATCACAAGTTCTGAGTTCTGACCATATACGGGCACCTCAAATATGTGTCTACCCTTTTTTGGATCAAGGGGCATTATTATTGGAGAGAAAAAGTTTATATAAGGATGCTACTTTATAATGTAGAACTACGGATGCCCTTCAAAAATCCATCGGAAAAGGTAGTTTTGCAGGTTGAAAAACCGTTTGATTGATCATCTCGACATCGAGATGTATGACTATGAAAAATAAAAAGATTTTAAGTCTCAGAAATAGTGCATTTTACAATATATATGGAAAAAGTTTATATAAGGATGCTACCTTACAATGAAGAACTACAGATGCCCCTCAAAAATCCATCGGAAAAGTTTAATGTTGAAAAACCCTTTGATTGATTATCTCGACATCGAGATGTATGACTATGAAAAAAAAAAAAGATTTTAAGTCTCATAAATAGTGTATTTTACAACATATTATCTACACCGTCCATTTTCAAGATTTTCATATGCTTATAGATCTACTTGATTTTAACCATTTTTTGAAATTTAAAAGTTTATAATTAGATATGAAAATAGATTTTGAGATAATCCGAAGAACATTTTATATCAAAATTATATGGAAAAAGTTTATATAAAGATGCAACCTTTTTATTTTATTTTTATAGAAATTCCGAAATTGTATTAAGCTAGAAAGATATTACAAAATCAGAAACAATAGTTTCAAGAATATAAGGATGCAACCTTATAATGCAGAACTACGGATGCACCTCAAAAATCCATCGAAAAACGTAGTTTTAATGTTGAAAAAACCTTTGATTGATCATCTCGACATCGAGATGTATGACCATGAAAAATAAAAATATTTTATGTCTAAAAAATAATGCATTTTACAATATATTATCTACACCGTCTATTTTCAAGGTTTTTTTTATAGATCTACTTGATTTTAACCATTTTTTAAATTTAAAATTTTATAATTAGATATTAGATTTTAAGATAATCCTAAAAACATTTTACATCAAAATTATATACAGGTGCACCTTACCTCTACCGCTATATATGCATCCCTATACCAACTACACCCAATTATATACAATGATAAAATTTGAAGGTGCACAGTACCTCTACACCTAAGGATGCATTCGTATGCCAACTGCACCCATCATGAGAGATACGGGGGTGCAGCGTCTTTGGGAGGTTTTTAAAAATGTCGCGTCTTTTTTACCGCTTTAAATTAAGTGGTCCAGAAAACGGACGCTAAGATGCGTTACATAACTTGAGAGTGAAGTGCGTCCATTAACGAAAAGGAAAATGGTTTGATACGGCGGCCGCCCCTATCAATATAAGTAAGGTGAAGTTTGTATAGAGCCTAGGCTCTAAACAATCAAATGAGAGCCTACCTTTAAGTAGTATCGATAAATATGCTATCAACACTGGAAATTTTTGTGGTAGCCTTAAATTATTTTTTCATCTCTATTTATTAAGTTTAAAGCTTCAAAAATAGTATAAATCGATAGATCTATAAAAACTTGAAAATCTTAAAAATTGAAGGTCCAAAATGCATTGTAAAATACACCATTTCCAAAGCTTGAAATTCATTTTTTTCTCATGTCTATGCATCTTGATGTTGTGATGATCAAATTGAGGATATTTGAGCATCAAAACAATGTCTTCTAGCGAAATTTTTGAGGTAGGCTCTAATTTGATTGTTTAGAGCCTCAGCTCGATATACGCTTTTCCCAATATTAAGTAAGGGTGCAGTTTGTATAGAGCCGAGGCTCTAAACAATTAAAGTAGAGCACACTTTCAAAAAGTGTCGAAAAATATGATTTCAATATTGGAAATCTTTGTAATAGCATTAAAATATATTGTCATCGCTAATTATAAAATTTAAAGATTAAAAAATAGTGTAGGTCGAGTAGATCTATGAAAGCTTGAAAATCTTGAAGATTGACGGTCCAAAAATGCATTATAAGATACACAGTTTTCAAATTTTGAAATCCAATTTTTTTCTCATGTCCATGCATCTTGATGTCGAGATGATCAATTAGTTGGTTTTTCAAAGTAAAAAAACATTTTCCGATGGAGTTTTGAGGTGTACATTAATTTTACAATTTAAGGTGTCAAACTTATACAAAGATTTTTCCTTCTTAAAATGATAAGTATATTGGGTCACTTTATCATAGTTTTATACATTGGACGTAGAATATGGGATAAAATATACTATTACGGATTGTAAAGGGTAGCGATCTTATTCGTAGAAGTAAGAGTGTGATATTTTATATTATTTATTTTAGTTGGATGGTGTAAATTGAACATGTCTTAAAAGAAATGTCAAAAAGGGATATGTCTTTTAATATAAGAAAAAGTTTATATAAGGTTGATATCTTAAAATGTAGAATTAAAGTACAACTCTAAAATCCTGTAAAAAAAAGTTGTCTTGATGTTGAAAACACATCTAACTGATCATCTTGACATCGAGATGAATAGATATAGAGAAAAAAAGAAGAAGTCATTTTAAGTCTTACAAGTAGTACATCTTGCAATATATTATCTGAACAGTCTATTTTCATGCTTTTATAAATATACTTAATTTGAACTATTTTTGTAATTTAAAATCTTTTATATTTAGAAATAAAAATAGATTCTCCTGCCATCCTAATAGTTTTTGGCACCAAAATTGCTTTTCATGACAAAATTTGGAAGTACACCTTATTTTGATGGTTAAAAGTTCCAACCTTATGTAAACCACACCTAGATATATAATAATAAATCTAAATAAATCAAATAACATAACTAGTGTAAATTTCTACAATCTTACTTCTACAAATAATGTTGCAATCTTATATAGTTTTTTTTCTAGAATATAATATACCACACCCAAGACATGGCAAATATGATGGACAAAATTTCATTTTAAGATTGGGTTGACTTATGTCTGAAAATGTTTGTTTAAAAAAAATTAGAGTAATAATCTTATGAGACCCTCCCACACCTATGTATGTAGGATCCCAAAGCAGCATCATTAAATTTAGCACAGATCTCTAAAAAAGTCAAATCCCACACCCATGTGATAACTTTTTTAGAGATATGTACCAAATTTAATGGTGATCCTTTAAGATCCTACACACATGGGTGTAGAAAGGTCTCATGGATCATTAGTTAAACAATGATTTTAAGTTTGTTATCAGTGTAGACGAGTTATATTTGTCTTCGTTTTACACCTACATGTGGGGAACAAGAGAGAGGGGCAGAAACCATTATTTTCTTGTTATGGGTAAGTTTGGTACTCATGAAAGTACAATCGTGAAAATATACATTTTTTTTTTTAAAAAAAATATTTTGTAATTCATTTTCTTTTGAACCATCCATTATTGACACGTTTAGTTTAGTTGGCGTGAAATATTTTCACATGAAAAAATTCTTTCATGCGATCCCCTCGTACCGGTGAGTATTGTTGCATATTTTCCTATCAATCGTCAATTAATTGATGCCTTGAAAATATAATTTAAAAAGCATTTTCACATATGCGGAGTTGTGGAGATTCGGAGAAATAGGTTCGGAATTGGTAAGGCCGCGGCCCTTCCAATGCCACACCCGAACGACTATTCTCACGATGTGTTTGATGCCTTGATGGTGGTCTCACCGACCCACCAAATCTTTTCCCAACGAAGTTTCTTTTAATATAGGCCGCACCTTTTTTTTTACCAAAAGGTCGTGGGTTCTCATTGGCCCTCTCTTCTTCAAATAGGAAGTTATTAGAAGGCCTAGGTGTTATGAAAACCTAATAAAGCCTCATCTCATATACTCGTAAGGCACCTTTGACAACGGGAATACTCTAAAATCAATTCAATAAATTTTGAAAATAAAAAATGTTGCAGATCCTATACATCTTGTGGATACGTGCATATTTATTTTTAAAGTGAAATAGATAATTTATTTAAACAATATAACTATTTTTAGAGCTTAAAAGCCTATTTTTTTCCCACAATTGTAATGTTCAAGCAGAGACAATCGACATAAAGATCTTCCAAATTTTAAATTTTGATGAGTTATGAGGAGAGATGTTGATAGGGCTGCAGCCCTATCAAAACATTTTCCAAGTCTCATCTCATGTCTTGTTGGGTCGCCAAAGATTCGTGTTTCTTTTTGTATCTCGTGTTCGTTTTTGGTAGTTTTACTCGTAAACCACATCATTGTTCTCTCTCATGCAATCATCTCTCTCTATTCCCTTGTTTACTCTCTGTAATTCTATTTTATACATTTGAAGTGGGGTTTAAGGAAATTATTTTCCATTGTATTTTCTGGTGTTTGGGCTTCACAACAACTTGTTAGCAGGTGACTTTTTCTTCCACTGTGAGCTCCTTCACTTTTAAATTTCCTCTCTACTTCTTGTGCTCCTTCTTTCTCTCGCTCTCTCTTGTTTACTTTTTGTTTTATTGAGGGTTTTATTGCTTGATTGTTGATGATTTTGTTGGTATCGTTCATTTTAACTATTGCTGATTTTTTCGGTCAAATTTCAGGGATTTTATGGAGGCAATTATGCTTTTGCCATTAGCACTTAAGGGGTTTCTAAGAGATCAAGAATTTCGAGTTTTTTTATGGATCAATTTTGACTACAATTCATTCTGGGTTATTTGAATTTGGGTGTTTTATTAGAAACAATATCACATTGTTGCTGATACTCTTGCGGGTCTAATTGGGGGATGTTCTGTGCGTGTCAAGTGATTTTGTTAGGGATTTATGATATGCTGTCCAGCAAAATTGCGCGTTGTGTTGGATACAATTGAAGATATGAATTTGCAAATTTTGTTGTTTGCCCGCTCTGGGTCTTCAGTGATTTGGAAAATATGTGATCCATGGTTGATTGACCTAGAGAACTTTACAGACACTTGACTGTTACAACCTCAATTTATGAGGTTTAGATGCAGTCGAAAACCGTTGCATGTGTTCATAGAAGATGAGATTATTCAAGTTTAATTCTCTATCCCAGCCTTTTATCCCTCCTCCACCCCCCTCTCTCTCAGATCTGATTCTGTTGGATTCTATTTATTTATTTAATTTTTTTTTTCAATTTTTATGCATTTGGTGATTAACAAATATAAAACGTCTATGAGCCATATGCTGCACTTGACTCATGCTGAGTTTGTAACTTTTTCTTTAATTCATGGTGTTCCCACTTGTAGGAATAAGTAAGAATTTTATGTCACCATTGCACCTGAATGTTATTTTTCTCTCTTCTTTATGTCTTGCATGGTGCAAGAAATGGTTGCACCCTGTAGCTCATGTATTTGCAAAGTTTTACAGTGATCAGAGGCTTTATATGACTCCTGCAACGTCTTTTTACTTAAACATATCTTAAGGAGTTGTGCTCAGGTGTTTGTGTATGAGTTCTATTAATTTGACCTTCATCAAGACATATGAAAGGCTGATTCTTGACAAAAAAAATTAAAGAGGTTGATTGGATTCTAAAGTTTTAGTTGAGATCAGGTCAAAGATGCCATAAATGAATTTGACAAATAAATTTTTTTTGCTCGTTTTATCTGTCCGAAGCTCAGTTCATAAAAGTTCTACTAGTGGCTTCCGTTTTATTAGATTTGGGGTGGTTCAGCAGTAGGATTCGTATGTGGGACTTTGTAAGATTATTATTTTTAAACATGGATAGTGCCTCATCTGTTTGATGTGGTGTGGTAAGCTTCTTTGGTTTTCCCCCTTCTCTTATTGATTGCGAGGTGTCTGTTGATCAACTACTCTATCATATGGATAGATTAATCATTATAGATAAATTAACTTTGGACATTATGTTTTGTGTGATGTCATTTTTTAGTGCATATTTTGTTTAGGGTTTGGATTAAACTCCCTGCCACTGCTTTTGTATCCTACTGTAATCTTTTGTGATGAATAAAGAAGTATTCACTGAAAATAGAGTGCAATTTGCTGTCCTTTTCTTTTATCACTTTGCTATGGAGAGAAGTCTTGTTGTGGCTTTTGTAATCTTGCTGTAATTCGGTTCAGTTCAAAGCTGAAAGCATATGAGGGATTTCTCTTGTTCTATTTTTTAAATTTTGAGTTCTTGCATTCACAGGAGCAGAATGAGTTAAGTTGAAGCCATGCCCTCTCAAAAGTCCACTGTGGAACAAATGATGTGGAGTCCCAGGACTTTATTCCAAGAAAAATGTGAAAGCTACTTGCTTTTCTATGGGGAAACATCCCTTGGAAATGGGTTACAAGCTTTCTTATATTTTCTGGGTCTTGCATATTGTTTCATTGGCTTATCAGCCATAACTGCCCTTTTCTTTCAATCGATGGAGACTGTCGTGAAACACTCAAGGAAGGTGGTAGAGATAGACCCAGACACAAAAGAGGAAGTTATTAGGCACCAAAAAGTTTGGAATTACACTATAGCAGATATAACACTACTGGCCTTTGGGACAAGCTTTCCGCAAATCTCTTTAGCTACAATAGATGCGATTCGGAACATTGGTCAGCTATATGCCGGAGGTTTATATTCTTCCTTTAGCCATGAAATGTCAAATATAAAAGTCTTGAATTTATCAACCTTTTATGGAAAGTAAATTCAGTCTTGCTTAGAATCGTTAACAACAGGTAGTTGTGCCAATGAGTACTATTCAAGGTTCATGTGAATGGACGATCTTTTTAAACATGTAATGATGTTCTCTAAAATTATTCCTTCAGCATTCTCAAGCTGGTTATATCAATTTTTAAGAATTTGGTTATTATAAATGGAAATGTATATAATGAGACCATTTACTTTTGATACAAGGAGGTTATAGTCATAATTGTCATTAGATTTGAAATTGCATGGTTGAAAATGTTTCATTGCTTACACACAAAGTCCAAAAAAAAAATCCTCAGATGTTGTAACACACTTTCATTTATTGGATTTCACATCTAATGACTAAAAGTGATTGTAACCTCCTTGTACCAAAAATAAATGGTCTCATAGAATACAATCCCATTGTTATTTCCATTATTTCAAAATTCAAATTATGTAGTTGTCATTCAATATATTTCGTGCATGCACAAGACATTATTATATTCTCATGGACAAGGTATTGGAGTGTAGTCTTAAAATATTTTGATACTGCTAAAGTTAAACTTTGATATGCAGTATCAGTTATTCCATACCTTGATGTTTCAATCTCTTTTGTGCATGATAAGCCACCATTATTTATTAGCAAAAATAACATAAGGATTTTAAGCTGCAACCTTTTTACATGACAGAAGTGGCATACATTGCACTGTATGTGGGTATTTTTATCTATTTTTGTTGACTAACTTCCATTGAAATGCAAAAAGGTTGCAAAGATTGTGAGATATAATAAATATATTAATAACAATTTTTGGGCACAAGGGGATGGTATTCCCAATAGTTGCTTTGAACATAGAACACCCCACTTATTGGATAAAGGTCACTTTAAGTCTTTTCAATGCCTTATTTTAGCTCTCCAATCTTCTCTTTTTACTAAAATACGAGTCTCTTCCCAACCCAGTTTCCTCTTGTAATAATCACTTATTCAGTGTCTGAGTGCAGGCTCAAACTATTCCTAAAACTAACCTTGCAATAATCACTTATTCTGTGCCTCAGTACGGGCTCAAACTATTCCTAAAACTAACCTAAGAATGGCTATTCGCTCATCACAAAATTTGAAATGACAACCGGTTCCCATCTCACTTAATATGTCCCTAGAGTTCATAAAGGCCTATTTGCTTTGCTTATATCTCGTATTGTTTCCTATGATACTCCTCATCCTCTTCCCTCGTTACAAAATCTCCACACTCATTTGCCCAATGGAGTCATTCCTTTTTTTTGACTCTCTTGGTCTTAATTCACCCCTCCCTATTGGACTGAGAACCCTTGCTACCCTCTTCCGACTAGAAGTAACCATGCTATCCTTGTAGCTTCTCCAAAGATGGACGTGTTTCATTGGTCAGGTTCCTCGATCAACAAGTCCTAGTAGACTCCTAAGAAAGAAAGAAAAAGGTATTGGATTAAAACGAAAAAGGAATAGAAATGTACTGGACAACAGCTTTTACTTATCAGCTAAAAATATTCAGGGGCCTTTATAGGTTTTAAGCAACAATGATGATATCAAAAGTAAAACGGTCCATAGTTCTATTTTACTTCACTTCATGTCCTTGGATGCATTGAAGCAGACATCTTCCATGTTAAAGAAAGAATCTTTGAAATTTAGCAAATTACATAATGAGAAGCCCTGATCTGGATATTTTTTGACAATTGTCCACAAATTTCTGATTATAACAAGGTTTTCAGAAATCATATATGATGCCTGTAGGAATATCATTTACTTTCTTATGTTTAGTGCTCATAGTTTGACATTGGTGGAGCTATATGGAAGTTTCATTAATTGATTTCTTAAACTTACATTTATATATGTTTTTATTTATAGAAGCAGTGCATATATGGTTTCTTCTTTGGTTTCTAAATAACCTTCTATTTGATGGTTGGATTTTTCACACAATCTTTACCTTTATGTAGGATTGGGTCCTGGAACTCTCGTTGGGTCTGCCGCGTTCGACCTTTTTCCTATCCACGCTGTTTGTGTTGTAGTTCCTAAGGCGGGGACATTGAAAAAGATATCAGATTTAGGAGTATGGTTGGTGGAGCTCTTTTGGTCATTCTGGGCTTACATTTGGCTTTACATAACATTAGAGGTACTCTTGGGCTTCAACTTTTATTTTTTCTGTTTAGATGTTAGAGCATGCGTGAATTTCTCATTGCATTTGGGTTATGGAAACTATTAATTGGGAATCATTAGGGTCACCGCACTCTCTCCCTCACCCACACAAACACACACACACACGCACACGCACACGCACACGCACACGCACATGCACACGCACACGCACACACACACACAGAAACACGCATGCACACAAACACAAACACACGCACACTCATATGCACACACAAAGGGTCCTGCTGTTTGTGTGTATATATATATATATATATATATTTCTGGAATGCCACTGATCTTGATTTAGTTGCACCTTCCCTGCAATTGTGTCTTGTTGAGGTTTATTTATAATGGAAGAAAAATAAAGAACAAAAAAGCTTATCCTGGTCCTTTCAACTTTGTAGGTGTGGACTCCAAATGCGATCACCCTGTGGGAGGCTTTACTAACTGTGTTACAATTTGGTCTTCTACTACTTCATGCATATGCTCAAGACAAGCGTTGGCCTTATTTCTCCATTCCATTGTATGTTTCTTTCTCAATGACCTTTGTATGCTAGTTTTGTGGATGAATAATTAATTTATATGTGGCAAAATACCAGGACAGCACTTGAAAAACATCAAGATGGTACTTGGTCAGCTGGTCTTGCCATTTTCGTGAAAGGACAGTTTTATCCTGATTTGCTGTTTAAAAAGTAAAATACTATGGTGAGGTGTGTGATGACTGGTTGCAAAATAGCCATCTTAAAAAACTTTGACAAGTCCAAGCACTATCCTTGGTATTTCAAATTTGGAACCACGTCATGATCCATGCTGGTGTTCAGGCATTCTCCCAGTGTTTTCCTTGTCTAGAGTGTGCTTTTATGCAAAGCGTTGAGAAAGGAGACATGTTTAGAAATGATTTGATGCTTTATAAAGCCTTATGAGTATGTATATATTCTTGTGTAGGCCTAGGCATGATAGACCTGAGGATTGGGTACCAGAAGAGCCTTTGTTTGTTGACCATCATAGTGGTGATTCTGGGGATTCTTCTGAAATTCTTTTAGCTGATGAAGGATCTGAATCTCGTATTGTTGACATATTTTCCATCCATACCAGCAGGGGTATAGGTAATGAATGAAAGGATGTAAATCTCTCCTTCGTTTAACTTTTCCTTGTCAGTTGAAGGTGGCGAGGGTGGTCTACGGATGATTGAACTAAATCTAACTTTGAAAGAGACAAATTAGTTACGATTGCACTGATTTTCACTATTGATCCTATCAATTAATCCTTCTGGAAAGTCATCATCTCTGAAAATAAATTAGAGTAGTCGGCAAGCAAAAGACCAGAACATCAGGTGGCTGGTAGTTTACCATAATCCAATGGACTATAGCGAGCCATGGTCCACTGGGGTCATCACCATCTGATGAAATGGACAGTGGGGCCAGCCGCGTAGTTGTGTCCTGATCTGCTGAGTCGTTTTGATTATCCATCATGCTTAATCATTTCAATTGCATTGTCATGATATCAATGGACTATATTTTTCCATAGTGCATTAGTCCACTTGTATACTTTCCCATCTGACATATTGCATTTCTAATTTTGGGTTGACAATTATTAGTCTTTCTTCAAATATATTTGTTATTACAATTGAGTGTGGCTCTAATTTGATATTACTATCAAGAAATTAGGTCATGTTTATCAGACCGTCAGCAGTGGAGATATGGGAGAGTCATCCAACAAAGTTTTTGAACAAAAAGCTGTAGATAATCAGTGTTTGCTTTCAATTTGGAGCAAACAATTTCTTGATGCCCTCACGGTATGTCATTTAACTTCCATCTCACACAACACATATATGTGTGTGTGAGTATATATGGGAGTGGATTCTGTCAGCCCACAGTCTGACTGCTACAGTGTCAGCCAATGGCCAGATTCAATCTGGGCTGATCTGATTGTTACAATATCATTTCGTATTTAAATTTTCATTTTTTTTTCCACAAATCCAAATCACTTGAAATTTTAGGCGCTCATTCTTCTCATCAAGGCGCACTTAATAAAAATATAAAAAAAAATAATTACGCGAGATATAAATTGACCAAAAATACCCTACAAAAATGTTTACATAGGTATTTTGGT